GTGAACTTATTCCCTATATGTTTGTGCACGTACGCCAGGGTTTGTAGCGGATTTTCTATGTAATGAGAAAAACATAAAGATTTGTAGTAACTTTTAGGGAGAAAACAGCTCTCTTACTCGATGGGATGGTAAGAAGAACAATTTCTCAAGAATTGAACGAAAAGGAAGAGGAAAAGAAGCCAGCAAAGCAGGCTGTTACCCTCCCCACAGATGGAACTAATGGGCTAGGTTTACTCTATATCTCTGATGCAATCCTCTAATCTGCAGGCCCATGTATACTACGCAGGCAACCCAAGACGTATACAGGCTATTGCTGGCAAAAGGTGGCCGAGGGGATCTTCTGATCCTCTGATTAAAAATAATTACTAGATCAAAAGACTGGCCAAAACATACGCACATTCACCCCCCATTAACATCTCCAAAAATTTCGGTGCGTGTTGTGCGCGCACAAATGTTGAGGGTGGGTTGCGTACAACATGCATGTTGTCCAAAATTAGTTGCTCACATCATGCGTACGATCACCCCTTCCAAAAAAAAAAACTAAAACTGAGCTGCTATATTTTGAGATTGTCGAAGTCACCATGAGTGTCTCACTAGTGAGGGTATGTCGCATGCTACTAAAAGAATAATTAGCTATAAATGCGAGCACATGTGACAAATCAAAGACTTCAACCCGTTGAATCGGTTCTACCACAAGAAATCTAATTAGTTGAACTACGCCCATTTCGTTACTTAAGGTATATTTTACTGCAACATAATGCGAGAGAATGTTGATTTAATCTTAATATAGATTTAATTAATCATGCCATGTTGCGAACTTGCGATGCCCACATGCATGTTGAGCCCATTATAGGAAGGAGAGAGCATATGCATCCATCATGGCCTTTCTCTTCTCCGCCAGCTGCCCCTCTCATGTAACCTGCAAAATGTGTAGTAGTAGATTCAAGGTAAATGTGGCACTAAATATAACTTAAATTTGTGGTAAATCTATTCGATAGTTTTGTTTAAAAGAATAAGTCATTAATAAACCTGTAATTTTACGATAGTGTATATGAGCCGTAAACATGTAATTTTGTGGTAATTTTGTCAAAGCATATAAATTATTTTTTGAGATTCTACTCTTAAGGAAAATTGACTAGATATATTATCAAAGACACTGGATGCCAAAAATGTAAAGTATTCTAGGTAGGGCCTATTCACTTTGCTACCATTTTTAACCATACCATTTTTCGGTAAAATTGCCAAAAAAAAAATCTACGTTTAGTTTGTTGCCAAATTTAATCAATACATAAAATATCCTGCTAAAATTTTGGCAATATTGTCATTTGCCAAAATTTTGACATTTGCCAAAATTTTGACATTACTCAAACTTGATAAGGTTTATTTTGGCTACAATCGGAAAAGACATGTAATGTTGTCAGGGCCTCAACATAATCTGTTGCAGTATTATTTCCACAATTTAATGCAGCAGATATTCTGGAGCTCCCTGCCCAGATCCACTGAGGGCACCCACAATGGTTATTTATAGGCTATCTACAAAAGATCCATGTCAGCATATTTTCCTACTTGAAAGATATTAAATGAAGAGAGAGAGCAAAGCTATCTACTAACTTAGAGATAGTCTATAGAGAAACACGAGGCAATGCATGAGAGAGCTATAGATACCCATGTAGACATACTATTGAGGTGGTTTACTATTAATCTAGTCTATTGCTGAGATGTACATGTTTTATAGAGAGCACCTTACTTTACCATTGCGGGTGCTCTAACAGGCTGTCTCTGAGCTTGTCCAAGTGTACCACATGATTCAGCTACTTGGGCTGCTTGTACACTGCCCTACTAATTAACCAAGTTCAGATCAGCTGCAAATTAAGAGCTAATTAATTTCACCATAGTTTTTTCAACGAATGGTTGTTGCCACAGCTGCAAATTTTCATCAGATAGCTCAATGGTACGAGGAACATACTGTCCCTCTTGCACACGCTACATGTATCCTTACCTTTAATTTTGTTTTTGCCCTCCAGCTACCATGGACAAACGAAAGGTTCCAAATGGAATGGCAAACACAACAACTTCAGTCTTGGTCATTTTTAATGATAATATGGTTAGTTTGCTTCCCTAGCCAACAGTATATGTCTTTATTTCTGTAGCTTATCGTTTGTTTAAGAGCTGAAGATTCTAAGAAGCGCAATGAGCTAGAGTTTGATAATTCATTTCACTGCTATGAGAAACTAGTTTATGAAATAGTTCAGTTCGAGAGTTTGGCTTGCTTGGCTAGCTACATATGCTTTTGCCTTCCTTCAAAAAAAAATGTGTTGGCTGGTGGAATCTGAATTAGGATGACTAGTTTTGTTTTTCGCCCTCCAGCTACCATGGACAAATGAAAAGTTCCAAATGAAAATAGCAAACACGGAACTTAAATTTTGGTCCTTCTTAATGATAATATAGTCAAAACATGCCTTTATTTCTGTAGCTTATGCCTTATGGCATGTTTACGAGCTGAAGATTCCTTGAATAAACTTACATGGTCATGTTAAAGTAGTTTTACTGCATAAATACAAAACAAATGTAGCATTTTCGCAAGAATAAACTTGCAGAAGTCGACATTTCTCTATTATACATAATTCAACAAAAATGGTATTTTATTTTAAATAGTGAATACCCATTGTAAATACCAAAACCGCAAACCATATCATCACACAAAGAGATAAATACGAGAAGCAATGCGCATTTTAATAAGATTCAATTTCACAGTGATTGGAAACAAAATCAATAATACGAGTTAGCTAACTTAACATATTTCATATGTTTTGTTGTTTTAGTAGAGAAGAATATCCTTCTAGAAACAAAATTAATTGTACACTGGACAAGTGAAAACAACTACATGTGCACCGGAGGTATCAGATCAAATCATTCTAGTAGCAGTACATTTCTGTGTCCGTAGTTGATTGTCTCCATTTACCCTATCCATTATGCCCCCATTTCATCATCTGTTTCTGCCCTTTCAACACCTCCATTACTGCCTTTAGACTCGTAGGACCAACCATGGACATGGAGGTACCATGAACAGCCCATGCTTTTTTCTACTTTCAAAACCTTTATTAAATGCCTTTAGGAACATGAACAACCCAACCCCACCCTAATTCAACCCCCATAAAAGCACTTATCCAACAGGATTTAGGCAAAAAGCAACCCAAAAACATGCCGCAATGTTTTTGTACTAATTATCTTTATTTTTATAAAAGAGTGTAATAGTCCTCTTAACCCCACCATGACTGCTTGGTTACCCCATTCTAAAAGGATACCTCCATCTTTAACTAGTAAAAGGCAGATGTGTGTACTGTTGTGCATCTATCTCTCTAAACCCAAAAAAAAAAAACCATTGGTCTTAAATTAAGGTGAGGTTGAGTAGTGGTACAATCTTAATGTAAGCGAGAATAATGCCTATGAATCTCAATTCCCGTTTGAAATGTGGGAATTTTCCAGAATCCTAGGAGAATTGGACTATTTGTCCTAAAAAATGCATAGAAGTCCTATCAAATTCATGGTTTCAAATGGACATTTTGAAGAACTTTTATATAAGTTAGTACAATTTATGTAGAGACATGGAAAAAAGTTCTGCATATTTCAAATGGAACCCTTCATTTCTTACTTACATTGCATTCGAGAAACTCATCACCTCGTCATTTGCCCTTCAGCTGTTAATTTTTGAATTTAAAAACTTGATTTTGATTTTTTTTTTATCAAAGTTTATTTTTTTAGCATTGGTTTTTAAAATCGCCAAGGAAATATACATACAACATACATAAGTTTATCCACAAATCATATTTTTTTAACAAGTTATATGGCTTATAATCAGCATTAGACCAACTAATAAAAGCTGCATGTTCTAATAAATAGAACACGCATGGATGATAACTAGAGCTGTCACTATATGCACGATCGATCAGTACATAACATTTCTTACAAAAAATAATCCTTATTCCATTTTCACTTGGAGCAAAGGATCGCCGCTCCTACGAATTCAATTGAAATGGCTCAAGACAATGAGATTTTGGATAAAAATTAGTATTGAGGTTCAACCTAATAGTATTACTCCCTCTGTTTTAAATACATAAGTCACATTAACTTTTTTTTATTAGTCAAACTATTTCAAGTTTGATTAAATTTATAAAAAAATACAACAACATTTCTAACATAAAAAACATATTTGATGTTATATTTAATGAAACTAATTTGATGTTGTAGATGTTACAATTTTTTCTATAAACTTAGTCAGACCTAAAACCTAAAGAAATTTGATTAGAAAAAAAAATCAAAAACAACTTACAGGGGCAGTTCAGATTGATGTCATTTTAAACCATACATTTTTGGTAAAGTTTCCAAAATGTACATACATTTAACTTTTTGCCAAACTTTCATAAATGCGTAAGAAATAATGCCAAAATCTTTTTGCCAAACTTTCATAAATGTGTAAGAAATAATGCCAAAATTTTGGTAATATTGTCAACTTACTAAATTTTTTGTATTGCCAAAATTTAGTGAGGTTTATTTTGACTATAATCTGAACAACCCCATAATATAAAATGGTGGGATTAGAAAATTCCAACTAGTCTTCTTTTCCTTCTTAAACTCTTAAGCTAATGTGTTTTGCAACTTCTGTTTTATACTTCTACTTAGTATCAAAATCCTATATATTTGCTACTTAGTATCAAAATCCTATATATTTGCTACTTAGTATCAAAATCCTATATATTTCCCCCCATTCAATGTAGGGGGGAGGGGGACCTCAAAATCCACTCACTCTACCCTAACCCTTGTCAATCCCATAACAAAATATACACAGATGGGGAGGATAATAAAAAGTAAAAAAAAAAAAAAAGAAAGCCTATGCCCCAGGAACAATCAACAACCAAGGCCCATTCCCAAGCTCACTTTTACCCAGGAAACATGATCATACATGCATATGTACACTCCTGCCCCAAAAGCAAGGTAAAAAAAAAAAAAGAAAGCCATTTGCCCCCACTCTCCCTGTATAACCTTGTACCCATCCCCAAAGATTCCCCTCTCCTCCATCCTTGTGACTCTCTCCTCTCCATCTCCAAGACTCCCAAGTGCTCTTGTGGTGGCTGTCCCCTACCTCTCTCTCTCTCTCTGCATTAGTGCACTGCAGAAGTGAAGTGAAGTGGAGTAACTCCACTGCTCTGCTCTGTGCCTGAATCTCTGACAACTGCACGCTTCTTGCATTGCATTTGCATTGCATCAAGAAAATGGCGATGGGGTGGTTGCCGAGATCTGCCACCGCCGTTCTTGTGCTCTTCTTGGTCTTATGGAGAGGTAGGTAAATCTGTGATGTTTGATCTTGTTCTTGTTGTTGTTGTTGTGGATGGTTGGTAATGGCGGCATGGTTTGTTTTGTGTGTGTGTGTGTGCGCAGATTGGGGGGTGGAGGCGGCGACGTTCACGTTCGTCAACCGGTGCACGGACACGGTGTGGCCGGGCGTGCTGTCGAACGCCGGGAGCGCGCGGCTGGCCACCACGGGGTTCGAGCTCCCGCCGGGCGTGGCGCGGGCGGTGCCGGCGCCGGCGGGGTGGTCGGGGAGGATGTGGGCGCGCACGGGGTGCGCCGTCGTCCAGGACGGCGGCGCGGGTGGGGGCCGGATGGTGTGCGCCACCGGCGACTGCGGCTCGGGCGGCGCCGAGTGCAACGGCGCGGGCGCCGCGCCGCCCGCGACGCTGGCCGAGTTCACGCTCGACGGCAGCGGCGGGCTCGACTTCTACGACGTCAGCCTCGTCGACGGCTACAACCTGCCGGTGCTGGTGGAGCCATCGTCCTCCGGAGGAGGCGGTGGTGGCGGCGGGTCTCTGACGTCGGCGGCGACGTGCGCGGCGGCGGGGTGCGCGGCGGACCTGAACGCGATGTGCCCCGCGGAGCTCCGGGCGGGCGGCGGCGCGGCGTGCCGGAGCGCGTGCGACGCGTTCGGGCGGCCGGAGTTCTGCTGCAGCGGCGCGTTCGCGAACCCGTCGACGTGCCGGCCGACGGCGTACTCGCAGGTGTTCAAGTCGGCGTGCCCCCGCTCCTACAGCTACGCCTTCGACGACCCCACCTCCACCTTCACCTGCTCCGGCGGCCCCGACTACACCCTCACCTTCTGCCCCGCCTCCTCCCCAAGGTTCACCTCTCTCCCGCCATTCATCTGCTCTTTCCACTGCTGTCTGCTAGCTACTGTCACTCACTCACTGTCACTGTCAGAGAGTGATCTGAGCTGCAAATCTGGATGCTTAGTGAGCTGTTCATGTTGTGAGCTAGAAATGGAAAGAAAGTGCAAGGATTGTAGTGTAGTAGTAATTAGGTGGAGGAGATCTTGGCATTATCTTTAGTTAATTAGTTGCAGATAGGGTGAAAAGAAAAGTGCAAACCCGAGCTTTTGTTTTGTTTCGCGCGATTAGTTTACTGTTGATTTTGCTTGCAGCCATGGATTTGATTCCAGATGCATATACACACATTGCTCGTGAGCTGACCATGTGCGCTTGTTCTTTCTCTTTCCATGTCACGTGGTGCGCAGCGGCAGCCAGAAGTCGACGACGGCGACGCCGACGCCGGCGGCGATGATGCCGGGGACGGGGACGCCGACGACGCCAACGACGGCGACGGCGATGCCTGGGGCGACGATGCCCGGGACGGCGACGGCGACGACGATGCCGGGGACGACGTTCACGGACGCCGTCCCGGACACCAGCATGCCGATGCCGATGGGCGGCGACGCCGGCGGCGGCGGCGAAGAGGGCGTGGTGCTGAGCGGCAGCGAGACGTGGATCGCCAACATGGCCACCGGCGAGCTGACGGCGGCGGCGTCCCTGTCCCGGCCGTCGCCCGCCGCGGCGCTGGCGCTGTTCTTGGTCCACGCCCTGCGGCTGCTCGTGCTCCGGTGATGCCCGGCGGCCATGTCGGCGCCATTGTAGTAGTAACAAAAACATTTTAGTCATGAGACGATGTGTTGACTAGTGTGAGTGGGGGTATTTTTGATGAGCTTTGTTGTTGTACTGTAGGGGGTAGTGGTAGACTGTATCGGTTGTACGCTGTAGATTGTTGATTAATTACTTGATTAATTAGGATGTTAGTTAATTGCAGGTTTTGAGGCTTTTCACGATGAGATTAGGGCAAGTACCAAGGGAGAGACTCAGTAAGGCCTCTATGTTAATTAGAGGCCATCATGTTACAATAGTTAAGATAATACGGTATCTAACCATTAATATAACAAAATACTTTCTTAGTAGTCATCTTTCCTTTATTACACTCAATGCAATAAAAAAATTTCTAATAAATACTAAGAGTCGACTCTGTATCGTTCTCATACTCATACGGAGCAATCATCTTTTATACGTAGCAAACATTTTTCTCTTTTTTTTTTCTCTCTAGTCCACATCAACCAATATGCTTGTATGATAATAAAGAGAGACCGTTAATAAAAATCATTGTACATGCCATTAGTCGTGTGGTTTTGTTTCTTGTTTAAGGGCCGGCAGATTCGTCGCTCGAGGGAGGGCGACCCGGCACACGGGCAGCCGGGCACGGCACGCACTATTACATTATTTTTATACTACTAATCTACTACTACTATACTTAATTAGCACTACTACAGCATACTAATTATTTACTTAACCAATTAACAGTAAAATCGTGCTAATAGTACGACTAAATCACTTAGCTGAAGTAACTAATGTTGATGCTAATCGTAATGCTACCGGAGTGGAGTAGGAATGTACAGAAGCGATGGGGGTGTCGAGGAGAGGGGGGCACATGCGATGTGATTGTTGAGGGCGCGGACATCGAGGCGCAAATGCGGTGGGGGCCCACGACGAGAGAGGAGATGGACGTGACGGGTCCAGTCCGGTCCGTATGGGTGGGATGGGCCTAGCCTCCTCGGTCGCTCTTTGCCATGGTATACTAGTACTACTGGTAATTGTGTACCGTGCCACCGCATTCTGGGTGGATCGTCGATTCGATCTCCTCAACTCCCAGTGCGGTTATTAGTGCGGTAATTTTTTTAGTTTTTAAAATGGACAATTTCGTTTTCCCCCCAATTTTATCTCTAATATTGATTTTGTCTCTACTTTTAGGGTTTTCGTTTTTGCCCCACCTTTTTTCACTGAAACAGATATTTACCTCTGGTTTGGATAGAAGTTAGTGAGACCGGGTTTATGGCAGAAATAAAGAATTTCCGAATTAGTGATTTACTTTTTACCCCTACGAAATGTTAACCATAAAGAGTCTTTCTCCTCTCGGCGACAGACCTAGCCCGTGTCCAAAAAAACTGGAGACCTAGCCGGCGGCGAGCGGGCGGCGGCGGAGGAGAGCGGGCGTAGGCTAGGCGCCGCTCCTCCCGGCGTGTGCAGGAGAGTAGCCGGGGAGAGGGTGGCGGCCAAGCGGCACGCTAGGTGGCGGCGGGGAGAGGGGTAGGTGTAGGCGCTGGTGCTGCCCCTAGTGGAGGTGGAGGTGGTGGTGTTGCTAGTGGTGGTGGTGGTGAGAGAGGAAGGGGAGGAAGAGGAGGGAGGCTAGCTCAATGGTTTGGACCTCATATGTAATAGCTTTATGAGTGCTTTTGTTTGAATGCATGATCTGGACAGCTACTTGTTACTATGTTGGCTATGATTTGAACCTGTAATATGTGATACTATGTTGGTTATGATGTGAACTTGATTATGTTGGTGCTTGCTATGAACTAAACTTTGCTATTTTGGTGTTGGCTATTATGTTGTCATGCTTTGAGATACTTGTAAGGTACAATATGACTTCATATGATTATGTAAAATGTTGTTGAAATTTTGTCAAAATGCTGCCGAAATTTTGTCAAAATTCCTTCAAATTTAAATTTTGTCCAAATTGTAATGTCAAAATCTGTCATTTAATTTTAAACATATTCAAAAAATAAATTTCCAAAGCCATTGCATAATGGGGGCAAAAACACAATTAATAAATAGATTTGGGGGAGGGCATAAATGTCCTATTTAACACCATTAACTTTTCCATCCAAAACATGAGCAAAATTATCTTTCGGTTTAAAAAGTGGGGGCGAAAACCCTAAAAAGTAGGGGCAAAATCAATATTAGAGATGAAACTATGGGCATAAACGAAATTGTCCCTTTTTAAAACCACAATATACCTCACGATAATCGTATGGTTTTTACGATAAGCATGCGGTTAACACAGGAACCACTAAATCCTAGGATGACGGTAACCCTACCTTAAATGATTTAAGTAAACCCTGACTCCAATGCACAACACCATGGGGCATGCGGTTGGTGATCATCATATTGCGGTATCGACGATGAGCTCCAGCCGAGAAGCACAGGTTTGTGAACATAACTAACACGGACTAGTACTCTTTTTTTTTCCGAGGAATAGTATACACGAGCTCCATCATTTTTTTTACCGAGTTACAAAATGCAAAACCAAAAGACTCTAAATCCTTAAGCGGTTTTGTTCCCGGTTTTATTTGACGTGACAACTGACTCAACATGAGACCCACGTGAACACCGCATGTTAGTGACTACTTATCCGCTCCACCTCTCTTCCTCTCTCCTCCACTCCTCCCCATCTTCTTGGCGATGACCGACGGAGAAAAGGACCGGTGTAGCTGGTGACGGGCGGAGAGAACGGGAGGCACGACGGCCCTCGCAGGAGAAGCGGAGGCGGCCGAGGCGATATAACTTCCTCATTTCTGTCGGTCATCATGGTAGAGAGGGATCTAGTATGGGGTGCTGAGGTAGCGACGTCTTGGCTTCACAACCACCGCCCGCCCTGTTTACCTCATTCGCTCCCATCCGCTCGCCCTCCTCATCCTGGAGTTGGAGACGAGGAGTTGGCTTTTCTTCCTCCCTCGAACTCCTCATCGGTCTAGGATGGCATTTCAGCATACACGATTCAGTTGGGTGTGGTGTTCTAGCAAAATCTGTTTAAGTGATGATATTAATTCCAGCAAATCTAATCTTTTGTGATAGTAGATACGCAATTTTCTCATGCATATATAGGAGAGACCTTTTGGGACGGGAGAAGCGACCGTCGAATTTTGGTGGTTTCTCAGCTGGCAAAACAATGTCATGGGGTCGATGTAAATTACAATGGTCCTTCGTATCACGGCTTCACGCCGTGCTTTTTTTCCCAACGATCTTGTAGTGGTGGTGGTTAAAATACAACTATCATCTTTTCATCTAAAAAAATCATCTTAATTAACCTTTTCCCCTTCCTTTTTGGGAAAGAATCTGACGGTATGATGCAAACGTTGTATCATATGTTAATTGTTAACGTGAATGTTAACAATTTTTTTGACAATATAACATATTTTACCGTTTTGAGCTATATACTTTGACAAATATAATATATTTTTAAGTATTTATAAAATTTCCACAAATAAAATAAATGCTTAAAAAAATAGGTTTGAATGGTGCTAGGGTCGATTATGAGAAAATGGAGGGACAAACATTTCTTTTAAAAGCCCGAACTTAAAAACTAGAGAGCGTTCATTAGTTAGTTGAATAACACACGTCCTTGCTACTGCACTTATGTATATCTTTACTTCTTTCGTTTTAAAATAGTTTTAAGATATAATGATCAATACTTGATTATAGTACTATGAGTTTAAAAATTTTCAGAATTGTATTACTGATTAGTATCTACTAATTGATTAGTGATATAAGTATATTTTAAGAGAGAGGAAGTACTACTAAGGGCACCCACAATGGTTATCTATAAGCTATCTACAAGAGATCCATGTCAGCATATTTTCCTACTTGGAAGATATTAAATGAAGAGAGAGAGCAAAGCTATCTACTAGATTAGAGATAGTCTATAGAGAAAAACGAGGCAATGCATGAGAGAGCTATAGATACCTGTGTAGACATACTATTGAGGTGGTTTACTATTAATCTAGTCTATTGCTGAGATGTACATGTTTTATAGAGAGCACCCTACTTTACCATTGCGGGTGCTCTAATAACCGAAATAAACGCGAAAGCTATAGTTTTGACATTCCTACCCTTTGCAAAACCTCATTTCACGATCTGACATTTGCCAGCTGGGAACATGTCATATTACTGTAGTAAGGCTGGGTTACTTTGATGAAAAAAAAACCTTACCAAATCATAGCTGTCAAAATTTTGAGAGGATTTTTTATATAGTTACCAAAATTTGACATCAAACTAAATATAGTTATTTTTTTTAACTTTATCAAAATTTGGTAAGGTTAAAAATGATATCAAAGTAAATATGCTCTAAGTTTGCCCAGAGTATTACTTGTAAGAGAGTCGCAATACCAAAATTCCAGGCATGAAAAAAAAAAGAAAGAAAAGGAGAGGAAAAAAAAGAGACGATGTCCTACCGAAAATGGACCGTACAGTGGTGAGCAGTAGTAAAAGCGAATTTCACAGAGAATCCCATGTGGGCCAGCCAGTGGACACCTTTCACGTCTTTTCTTGCTGTTTACTCCACTGACCCCACCCTGCCGGGAAGGAATCTCACGCGTTTCACACCCGCACACATCATACGACAGCGTGGACCCACACATTCTGGTCCACTGTAAGTGAGACAAGGTGCTCATTTTGTAGTCAAGTCAGGTTAATCTTTGCACCGGGATGGGTAGAAATCACGGTGCATTTTTTTTAACCTTTTGTTTTTTACCTTGCAATTTTTTAACGGGGAGGTAGAAGTACCCGCAGATAGGACGATGTGGTCAGTGGTGCACGGGGAGACGAGATTGACCGCATTAAATGAGCTAGCAAGTGTGATGTGGTACTACACTGTAGAGTAGGGCTGCTGCTTCCGTTGGATGAACTGCACACAAACATGTGCTTTGATCTGAGTAGACTTTGGCTTTTTTATCCGTTCTTAATACTTCGTCATAAATTATAGTATAATGAGATATATTATAGTGAAATGTATCTTAATATATATATATATATATATATATATATATATATATATATATATATAGGACACTCATATGGGGCACCATGGTTTCAAATGCACAAAATCACTCAAAATTTTCAAAATTTTCAAATTGTGAGTATATACCTAGTTATAAGAATTCGATTCATACCTATACCTATCAACAAAACAACTCAAATTTAACTTTATTT